AACAATAAAGTTATTAGTGATATGTAATAATACATAGATATATATTGGGAGTTATATATAAAATATATTATTATCGTAGTAAATATATATACTATATAGAGGGTAGTTTTGGGGGTGGGAGATAAAGTTTTTATATTATGTCGTAAAATAAAACTGAAGTTTTAAACGAGGACAGAAAATATCGTTTTTAATGTTAAAAGGCTCCAATACTACTTCTACGTATATAATTTACGATTGATTAAATACTCTGTTAATTAATATTTTTAAAGATTTCTTTTTTTAGTTAATATTTGGAATAATTTGATCGGTATTATATTGATAATATAATAAACATTATTGATATTTAAATAAATATTAGTATTTATCTTGTATCGATATATATACATGGGGTGATTTTTGAAAAGTTTTGAGTCTAAAATAAAAATGATATTTTTATTTGTTGATATTGAAAAATTGTGATATATCTTGAAAATAATTCTGACGTAACTCCGAACTTATTCAAAAATACTGTGTGTTCACATTTATTTAAAATAAAGATAATATTTTATCAAATGTACTGTTCTCGTATTTTTCGACAAGATGGAATAAAAGGAAAATAAAAGAAAAGAAAGAACTACGCAGACGTATTTGTCGAGTCGAACAAATAAGCAAAAAAAAAAAGAAAAAAAGAAGGGACAGGAAGGGACGAAGTAAAAGGAAAGCGGAACGAAGGGTAGTTTGAAACACACCTGGCTTGCATTAGGTATAATCGTTATTCGGTAGAAGATAACCGGCTGTTGTGACTTTAAAATATATTACTTTAAACACGACCAAGGTCTAATTTCTATCTCTCGATTTTTATCATTTAATTTCAATTAAAACACTCGCGTTATAACTAAAAATTAACAAGAATCTTCAAATATTTTAAAATCCAATTAAATTCCTTTACAACGTGTGACAAATTTAAATCGAATGAAGACAAATTGAAGAAGAAGAAGAAGAAAAAAAAAAAAACAAAAAAAAAAGACAAGAAAAATAAACTCATAAATATAAACGCGCGGGACCTTAAGATGATGATGATCAACGAATGAAGATATGTTATAGGTGAATACTTCGAAGAAGTTAGAAGGGTGGGAACGAGAGGAAGGAAGAAAGAAAATAGGAATGAGTGTTGCCGTTATGCTCAGGGTGTCATAACATAAAAATTAGCACGTGTTAACGGGCACTAGAACACAAGTTATCCGCAAGACATAATATATTCTCTTTCTCTCTCTTTCTTTCTCAAACTATATTGTGCAAGACTGGTCGATAATATATCAGAACGAATCTCCGAAGAGGGAAGAGTTTGGTCCATTATTGAGATGGGGGATGCTATAGAAGATGCAATACGTGTGAGAGAGAGAGAGAGTAGGTTTTGCCGGCACGCACCGCCTCAGAAAGCGAAAACCGGCCTTCTCTCTCTCTTTCTCTCTCTCTCTCTTCCTCTTCCTCTCCTTGTGTAGAGAACAATGCGGAATATATTATCGTATCTCGTGCATTAAAACAAAGAACGGCCGGGAGGAACGTAGAGGGTCGGTGGTGATGGTGGTGGTTGTGGTCCTCCCCTTTCCCCCCTTTTCTCCCGTCTTTTACGAGAGCTGTTCGCATCAGGTGCGGTACATAAAGCCCGAATCTTTGGCCGCAACAAAATAACGCCCGAAAGAGTCTTGGGGGCGAACGTTTAAAGTATCCTTTCTTGCCGAGGTTAACGTTTGTAAATCATGCGGAGTGGGTTGCACTCGAGCCCAGGACAATAAGGAACGAATGTAAGTGATTGTAGGGGAAGTCAAACGAAAAAGATATATACTATACGAGAGAACACATTCGAAGATTAAAGAATTTTATTATTTTTTGTTTTGTTTTGTTTATTTTTAATTTTTTGAACGACGCGAGATTATTTTTTGTTATCGATGCATCTCGTTGATCGATTGAGAAAAAGAAAAATATTATACATTAAAATGTGGATTATATTATAGAAAGTTTATTTATCTTATCTAGGTTATTTTTATTTGTTATTATTATGATTTTGCCAAAAGAAGAGAGAATCCACGAAGGTAAAGTTACCTTTTTTTTTTTTGTTGTTCCCCCTCCCATCTCCTTCTTCTTATATTTAGGCCGCCGACGTATCGAATCAGGAAATTTGAGCATCCTCGAGAATGTTTTATTGCTTCTTTCTCTTAACTTCGTCGTTCAAAAAACTTATGGAATTTTTAACCTCAAACGACCTTGTTGCGGTGTATAGAAAAATCCCGTTCGCGGTTGGTATCACGATAGGATATCATCCTATCTTTTTTCCGTGAGAACAAAAGCGTGTATCGGTGGTTGGTATATATGAATAATAGTGTTTTTTTCACGCCTGTGTGTTTCGTATTACCATTTTTTTGTTTGTTTGTTTATTTCGATGATCAAAATAATTCACAGGGGTGGGGGGGGGATATCCTTTCGTAATATTAATCTTAAAGTTTTCTCCAACGATTCCTATTTCCATGGGAAAGAAATAAAAAAAAATATTTCGAAATTCAAAGCAAGAGAGATGGCTTGAAAATAAAATGTGGTGGGAATAA